GGGGCCGCGGCCCGGAGCGGGTCGGAGGCCGGGGTCGGGGGGCGGCGGCTCCTCGTGCAACTCCGGCGACTCGGGGTCCCCGGCAGGGCCCTGGCGGGGCCATGGCAGCCGGGAGCATCACCACGCTGCCCACCCTGCCCGAGGACGGCGGCAGTGGCGCCTTCCCGCCTGGCCACTTCAAGGACCCCAAACGGCTGTATTGCAAAAATGGGGGCTTCTTCCTGCGCATCCACCCTGACGGCCGAGTGGACGGGGTCCGGGAGAAGAGCGACCCTCACAGTGAGTGCTGGCCCTCTGTTCCTCTTCCCTACAATTCCCATCTCCCAGTGGTTCTATTCTCTCCCTGCACTCATTCCTGCCTCCATACCCTTTCCTTCTCTGCTCTTCTATGCTCCGACCCTAGTGAGGGGCTTGTAGTTTCTTTCCGCGCAGCGCTTGGTGGTTTTAGGTTTACTGGTCGTCCCCTCCTTCCCGGAGCTGCAAAGACTCGAGGTGTGTTCCACTTTCCTGGCTAAACATTTCCCCTGGACCGGGAGCCACAGGGCACCCGGCTTCGCCGATGGCCTCCCTTCGCGCAGACAACCTGTCGCGTCAGGGATGTCCTGTCCGGAGAAGAGGTGAGCACCTGGCGGAATTGTAGCCCGCCTCCGATTACGAGGTTCTGTCTGCTTTTCTGTATGAAGCGTGCCGTTCAGAAGACAAGGAAGAAGGAACACAGCACATTTAAATGTCTCTTATTTAAAAAATACGTTTTCAGAGACGCGTCCTTAAATTTCAACTCTGTTGGTAGGACCCAAGATAGCTGGCGCTCACTGCTTTCACTCCAGTGACTTTTTTGGGCAACTGTAGCCACCTCTTGTTGTTACGTGCCGTCGAGTCGACACCGACTCATAGCGACCCCTCCTTGGGTTTCTTAGTGTCTTAGCCACTGTGCTACCAGAGCTCCAAAGCACTTGACTGCTAACCAGAAGGCTGGCGGTTCAAACCCACCAGCCACTCCTCGGAAGGAAGGTTGGGCAATCCTACTTCCGTAGTGATACTCCCTCAGAAACCCAAGGAGGGGTCACTATGAGTCGGGGCCGACTTGACGGCACACAACAACAACAACAACATTAGGTGCCTCTAGGAGCTCTGGTGGTATAGTGGTTAAAACATTCCAGCTGTTTTGCCTTTTGGTAAAGGTTGTCAGTTCAAACCCATCAGCTGTTCCATGGAGGAAAGATGATACAGTCTGCTTCTGTAAAGATTTACAGCCTTGGAAACACTAAGGCATAGTTTTATTTACTCTGTCTTATAGGGTCACTGTGAATTGGAATCAACCCAATGGCAGTGGGGTTTTCTTTTTTCTTTTTTTTTTGGTTTATTAGGTACCTGAGGACCCCTGGTGGCACAGTGATTAAAGCACTCTGCCACTAACCAGAAAGGCAGCAGTTCGAACCACCAGCCACTCTATGTGAGAAAGATGTGGCAGTCTGCTTCTATGAAGATTTACAGCCTTGGAAACTGTGGTGTAGTAAATTACTTAGTGTGGCTTTTCTACCCATAAGTCTTTGTAAACTCCAAGATGGGATTTGCTATGAGCAACTGAGGAGCTCCTGA